CTTCAATTGATATTGGTTCTACTCTTCTGTTGCATCTAAGCAATGTAGACTGTGCAGCTGTGATAAGACGACTGCCTGATTATCTTTAATCCCTTTCCTTCTATGGTTTCTTTGCAGCCGCACCTGGTAACTCTTTTCAGCAACAACTAGTCACAAAAGAGGGGAATGAGCTCTATCACTGTGTGATCTACCTTGCACCGGGGGATTATCACTGCTTCCACTCCCCCACTGACTGGAGAGTGTCACACCGACGTCATTTCCCGGGTAGGTTTCTGTTCCTAGAAAAGGAACGCAGAGCAGCTCGGGGGGGAGGCGCTGGTAGGGGCCACTGCAGAACAGACATGCCCGTGGAGCAGTTGTACAGTTACATGGTAGATAATGGTACAAAAGCGATTTGTCACAAGTGAGAATGAGTTTTACAGTAGGATAGTTTACCAGGACAAACCACATGTAAGTGGTGAAAATGGTAATATTCAAGCCGGTTTAGTTCTCTGAAACAACTGTTGGTACATGCTGAGAACTAGCTTGTTCCCAAACACGATTTGTTCAGTTTGCACCTGAAATACAGATAGCTCTGCAGATGAGACCAAACAGCAGCCTAACAATCTTCCCCTCTGCTTGGCAAAGATGCAACTAAATAGTGACACTACCCAAGCTGGTAGATGGTTCTGTCCTCCTCTGTACAGGTCCGTACTGTAGCCTTTCGTTAGATGGATCTTAGGTGCTTATTAGAAGGCTTCTTTCAATTCTGTGTATCAGGGCTGAGGGTGGGGGAGTAGCTCTTAAGAGCTGATCAGATGACAGTTAATAGTTGTCATTTGTGAGTCTGTAGATGATACTAGTGTGAAGTTGGTTGGTTATGTCTTTGGAAGAGAAATAGGATCAGACAGTGAGCAAGTGAGTCCCTGCCACCTCAGTTTGGTGACAGCGAAGTAGATGTAACTGATGCTACAACAGGCTCCAATAATGACAGGTATTTTGAAAGGGACTCCCACCCAAGGTTTGCTCCCTGCTTTAGTGGTAGGCTTTCACTGGATGTACAGTCAAGCTGAAGCTGTAGATGGTAAGAAGTGGAAGCCAAGGGAGGTGGGGGTTACTGGTCAGCCTGAAAAGAACTGTTTCCAGGTATGAAAATTTAAACTCTTTTCTCTTTAACACAGAGAACTGTAGGTGATGCTTCAGACTGCATTCACACCTTACAGTGAAGGATGAGCATGATCTTTAGCTTCCTTGTGATTCTGCCAGAAAAAATGTAAAGTAATATCAGCCCTGCCCAAGAGTGGTGATGTCCTGGACAGAAGACTAAAGATCACATCTTGCTATGACCCCTTTGTTTTTACTACAGCCATGTCTTTCATTCGCTCTGCGCTGTATTTGCCTCTCTTCTACAGATCAGTGACAGAATTGTTTACTGGCTCAGCAACAGTCATACTGTAAATACCACTTAAATAGCATTACAATACTGCTGCAAACCACACAACTTAACTTGAAGGTATTCTCACTCTTGCAGGTTCTCTGATGTCTGTGAATCCTGGAGTTGCTCGCTGGATCAAGGAACTGTTCTGCCACAATGAACGGGTTGTCCTGACAGGTGACTGGAAACATGGCTTTTTCTCTTTAACAGCTGTAGGAGCAACTAATGTAGGCTCTATCCGCATCTACTTTGACCAGGTAAGCAAGATAGTAGTATGCAGTGTTCCGGTTTTGATGGCTGAGGATGGTATAATATATTAAGAGTAAAAAAAAAATAAAAATCTTACTACCTTGAAATTAAGGTGTTTAACAATACTGATGTACTATCTTTTTTTAGAATTCCTATTGCACATTTGAATTATGTAAGTTCCTGCATTGAAAATACCTTGATATCCATAGTCTAGAGCTGTGCTAATGAATACAGAGTACTGAAATCCTCAAGTAACAGCTTCTTCCTTCTCTGTACAGGACTTGCACACCAACAGTCCATGTTACTCTAAAGGTTCCTACAATGACTTCAGCTTCATATCCAACAACAACAAGGAGGGAATCCCCATGAGGAAGGGGGAACATTTAGGGGAGTTTAACTTAGGCTCTACAATTGTTCTAATCTTCGAGGCACCCAAGGACTTCAAATTCCACCTCAAAGCTGGACAGAAAATCCGTTTTGGAGAAGCACTGGGCTCTCTCTAGAAACTCTCTCAGCAAGAAGGTTTTCTACACAAAGAGACTCTTACCACACCCTGAGTGTTTCACTTAACAAGCATGTATCACTCAGCAGGATCTGGGTGAGGAAAACAGATGATGTCATTGCTACGTTAAACCTGAGAGATTTGGTCTACATGTAACCACTGCTGAATGCAGAAAGAGAATTGAATGACCATGTATGTATCAGGTACAGCTGCCTTTAACGTTGTTGACCATGGAGGTTTCTGTTCCACCCTGTGCCTGTAGTCTTCAAGTTCTCCCCTTAATGTGCCACAGGATAATTATGTTCTTAGCACCTCCAAGTCTCTTTTAAGCCTTTCTAGGCAGTGCAGGTGCAATGGGGAAGGGTGGAGGTAAAGTTTAGTTGTATTTAAAGGGACATTGACAGGCTGAGTCAGACCTTGTACCTTTTATCTGCAATATCTGTTTTTCAGACCTCTAGTAATGAATGTGTTCTGGTATTTATTTTATTCTAAGACAGTCCACTGACGTTCTTATATAAAGGCAGCCTCTGAATCCACAGAGTGCCAAACACTTATAGTGACCGGTATGGCTTTGCAGTCCAAAGGAGGAAACCGTACAACAGACACCATCAGTACAATAAATCACACTCATCCAGGTTTTCTACTGCTAAACAACTGTAATTCTTTTACCTGACATTGTCCCTTTAAAAAATGGACTTTGCACTGTATTTTAAACCTGAAAACACTGTGTCTACATTCCATCCGATGAAAGTTGGATTTTTAGTTTTGGGATTTTTATTTTTTTTTTAAAAAGGCAAAGCTGGGTGTCCTATTTCTAGTCCAGGGTTTTATTTTGCTATTCCAGGCCTTAATGATTTTGTTTGTAGGGGTTAGAGCACATAGGCAATGTTTTTCTTGTATGATGCAATGAGATGGAAGCCAAAATGCATTTTTACTTTATGCTATGTATCTTCCTTGTTGCTTTGCCACTAAATTTTTGAAGAATTAATTCCTCTATTTACAGAAGAGTTTCAGATACTTCAGGACCAATTTTTATTGCACAGAGTGAAATGCCCTATGCACTGACTGTGTATAAAAATATTCCAGATCTTTGAAGCAATCCTAAGTTGCCTCCCAGATGCCAACCTGGCCATCCTGTAATGGACTGGCAACAATTTCATCTTATTCAAAATATAAAATAACCCACACTGGCCTCGACTTCTGCCCTTATACTTAACACTAGGAATGTGCTGGGGGCTGAAAGCTCTATGCTGAAGCTTTATCCTGCAGCAAAACATTAGAGCCTCTTGGTAACTTTATGTCAAGAAGAGGTAAAATCTAATGCCTTGGACCCATTGAATGTGGCACTATATGGCACTGACAGAACTGGTGCCAAAGTGAAGAAGAACTGAGTTTTAAAGCAATGCACCAGTAGTTTAGAGAATAAACTGTTTCAAGTCCAGGCACTCAGAAACATTTAGAAGTGACTTTGCTGTCCCGAGCTTGTTGGAGTGGACATGCTTATGAAACCTGCCTTTCTGCTCTGAAAGATTTCTCGTAAGCCTTCCTTGCTTGAGCCTTGAGTGTTTCTTCTGCTACTTCAAGGTGATGTTAGGCTTTGGCCAGCTCCGATTTCCTGAAGAAAAACTTACCTTCTTTGTATGCACTGCAGAAAATAGAATATGATTTTGTTGTACAAATGTCCAGTTTGCCAAGTCCTGTATGCTTAGCTTGTCATCAGGAAAGAAGGGATGATAAACTGCCTCTAAGTGATGTAACCCTGCCATGACTTAAATGATGGCTGGTTAGGGTGACAAGCAGGAGAAAATTCCTTTGGCTCTGAGAGTCAATGTTTCCTCACTTTACATGGGGAGGAGTTTGAAAGCTTGAAGTGGCTCTCAGCCACCCGTCTTGTTAAACTTTCTAGCATTAGCAAGTTTACTCCTGCAGCAGTACATTACCATACAGAGGTTATAGAGATGTGCACTTTTTTAAACCGCTGAGAGTGAGAAAAGACTACAGCAAACATCAGCCCCAAGAAGATTAAGCTACGACTGGCTTTCTGACTCAACTTAAATGTCAGTGTTGGCAGTAGAACGCAAATTTTTTCCAGTGGATGCGAGAAAAGATGACTGAATCTTTTCCCCCTTTTCCACTGGGGCCTATGGCATTCAGGCACAGCCAAAGCAACTTTAAGCTTTAATTTCTTCCTCTTCAGCATCATCATCCACAGTATCTGAGGGTGACCATTACCCTAGTAATGGAGGACGGGTTACCTGATGTTTGCTTTACTAGAAAACTAAGGAGGGGAGGATTCAGGATGCAGGTGGCTGCTTTTGTGATGATGGTCTTACTACTGTGCAGAGCTAGCTGATTAACAGACTTTACTTGTTATGCAGTGGTCAGCAATGCACCCTGGAAGTGAAAGCAAAGTTCCTAGAGGGTACTGATAATGCTGTGAATTTCTCCTGCATGGAGAATCCATTTAATTCAACTGTATCAGTAGCACGGTATTTTTGTATGTCGAGGTGTATGACTTAACTTACTGACATGAACTCATTTAATTGCAGACATTTTGAAATAAAGAGTTATCGGTGTTGCCTATTTTTCTGAAATGTCAGAGTAATCTAAACTAGGTATTGTGAGTGCTGCATAAGGTATATTTAGCTCTCATTTGGTTTGGGTTTTAACTAGGTGTAGTAGAGAAATCAATCAAACAAAAACATTTAAGTTAATTTATAAAATAAAACTGCCATACATAGACTAAGAGAATGTATACATCTCTTCCATCCTCCCCTGCTATGAAAGGGCTAAAATGTCCTACCCGTGAGCTGGAAAACTGGTTCAAATGCTGCATTATATATCCAGAGCAATCTGGATATCACGCAGGCGGGCAACCAGGTTCTGCACATGCTGCCTCTCTTTTAGGTGTGCTTTGGTGAGCACCTTGATCCTCACCTGCAACTGAAAGCAAAGACAATTGCGTAAGCTGTTTGTATAGCAAGCCAGCATTTGCATTTAGTCTTTCTGGCAGAGGAAGAGCAAGTGTGCTCTCGCAACCTTTATATTATCCCACTTAACCATTAAGTGACAGGGTTGTGTCACTCGGGAACAGCCAAGTGCTGGCCAGCACCATACGCACACAGGTAGGGGCTGAGAGCAATGCAGATGCAGTCACTGTAGTGTAGCTACACTGCCCTGAGAAATCGCAAAACATTTTGAGACTGAATATACTGAAACCTGCTGTGTAGCTTGGAAATAGCTTTAGAACAGCTAATTGAAGCTGGAATTGCATTTTGGAACAAATGGGAAGGTGCATCTAAACAGCAGTCTGTTCTGCTTAGTGGCCCACGTCTGATTACACGTTTCCGTTGGCCTTTGAGTAACAACTTATTACACAGTTCCTCACAGCCACCATCAGCCTTTAGGCTAAGTGCACAGCATAGCAACAGTCACTTAAGCAACTTCAAAGGGTTTGCTGTTTACACACCTGATCCAATTCTTCCTGAACTTCTATACCACATTCCTTCTCTGCTCGCGTGCTCGTTTCCAGCCACTTCTGTAGAATCTCTGCTTGTTGCTGACAGGACCTGAGAAAATGGATTAGGATTCTTATCCCAATTAAGAGTTCAACAATCTAAGCCAACTTAGACTTGCAATTGATAGTTGCAATAAGACCCAACTCTTTCTCAAACAAGTGAATAGTAAAAGTCTTTTTTTTTTTTTTTTAAAAAAAAAAAGGATGCTTGGAAAGCAGAAAAATCTGTCTGAAATCTGTTGGCTTCATTTCCTACTCCTAGTTTCTAACTTGATCCTTCCCTGACAGGTGCATCCCCCTCCAAGAACCATTTTCTAAGCATTTTTTTGAATGTGTTCTTTTTCCAGTAGAGTTGTCAAACACTAGCCATATTTTTTTTTAATTGACAGTTGGAAAAGCTAAGCCTTCACTCCTCACGATAAAAGACCTAAAAGCTAAATTTCAGCTGCTCTGCCAAGTTCATTTGTACTGCCTTCAGATCACACCCAGTGATAACTTTGTCACACTTTCTCCAATAGTTGCCAAAGGTATAATTAAACCAATCAGTGACTACAAAAGAAGTTGCACATGTACTCTCCCACCTGGAGTGAACTCTTAAAGTTAAAAATAAGAGCCTCTAGGACTTTTTTGTGTTTCATGAACAGACTGGTTATTTTCTAAGTAGACATATACCAAAAAATGGAACATTGAGGTGGCAGCACGAGGAAAGACTGGCTAAAGCAGCTTTGCAACATACTTGAGCTCTTGCTTCCTGCAGAAATAGTACTGCATCTGCTGTTGGATGTGTTGGAGTTCAACTTCCAGCTTTCTCCGTAACATCATTTCTTCTCTGGAATTGTGCTCCCTTTCTTCCCTTTCAGCTGAACGGAAGATACAAGGCCCAAGCAACATAAGTAGAACGGACTGAACATTGTTAATTCTCGTCAAGGAAAGTCAGGTTAGTAGACAGGAAACATGGAACCTTTCCAAGTCCTTTTCACATGTTTTGGCACCCAGTGACATGTACCTGTTCACCCAAAAGATCGGGTACAGTGAGCTGAGAGGTCGACAATCCTGAAAGCATTAAAAGGTCTGAAGACAGTTTAAACATCCAAAAAAAGTTAATGAAGGCTCTGGTGAATCATTCTGTACTAGACAGCTATTTTGGCCTATTACTGATTTAGTGGTTTACACCTACTCTAGAACTAAGTAGTAAGTCTAGTCCCATGGAACACAAATTTAATGCCCGTATGTCATTAAAAACCACCACGCTGGGATGTGCTTAGACACCGTCTGTCTCCTTTGGAACTATACTGCATTCAGCCTTGTGTACATGAATGCCCCAGTGCTTGAGCACACTCTTGCTAAAAGAAGCCAACCCCTGGCAGTCCCCATCCTTCAATCCCTAGAACAGGGCTTTAGCACCCCGATTCAGCAGAATCCACAAACCTTATTACCACTATGAAAATGAACGATCAATATTCTTCACCTTCTGATGCAGGCACACAAGACTGCCTTATCTCCCTTATATTTTTGTGGAGCTGACTTGCAGTCTTGCATATATCTGAGGGGGACACATAACTGCTACGCTTTCAATCCGAGGACCTACCTGCAGTTTGGTGACTCCATTTTCCCACAAAGTGTTCAGGTGACAGCAAATGCGGCTGCAAGTTTGGTCGCAACTTCTCCACGGAGTCCTGTTGACAGTCTCGGGAATGGGCTCCTTGCTGACTACTCACAGGCTGGCGTCCTCTCTACAAGGTCAGAATGATAATGGATTTTTCCTCAAAGGGTTTTCCTGAGTAAGGCCTTCAAGTAGGATGCACCTGACCTGCTAAGTCCTACTCTCCCACTATAGTCACAAGCCCCTCTCGTAAAATAGCACAGAAAAAGCAAAGCTTAAGAAACGGGCTCTTTCTAGCATGGAGATATATAATCAAAATTAACACCTCCCATTCTGTATCTAACAGAGGAGTTTAAAATGCAAGCACCTCCTTGTAGGTGAAAGGAATTTCCATTTTTGAGACTCTCAGCCATAGCCACTGCCACTAAGCTGAACTCTTAAGTTTCTATAATCTGGTTGGCAAACCAGGTGCTCTGAGCTCTGTGAGAGAGCATCACTCTAAAGTGAGTTGCTAAGAAAAGCACCCAGCTAGGAAGGACACAATACCAGGAAAAAAGGCACAAATTGGAGTACAACACACAGTGGATTGGTCAGCTAGTGGTAAACAGCTCTTGGGCATCCAGAGCAAGTTAATTAGTTAGCTTTTAAGATGATAGGTAGAATAAGAAAAGAATACCTCAAAAACCAGATGGGCAGTCCAGAGGAGACACGGGAAGGAAGAGCAATAAGCAGCGTGTATGTTGACAGTAGCCCAGTAAGCACGCTAATTCTTCCTTCAGCAATACACTCACCGTTTCTGCTCCAGCTTTTGTTTGGTGCATGAAAGATGAAGGAAACCACAGCTCCGGCCTCTGAACAGTGTGGTGCACATCACGTGTCAACAGTGGGACAGACGGGAGAGCAGCATGTGTGAGAGATGGACAGGAATGAGTGGTATTGCCCATCTGAGGTACACATTTACAGGTACTTCCTTCCATTTGAGGTGTGGGCACTAAGCTCCCAGCCTGCGCAGAACATTTGTTCCTAAATGTTTGCTGAAAAGGTGCTTCTGATCTGTAAAGGAAGAAGGATGAGGTCCCTTTACATGGCAACCTGTTTCACCCTTTACAGTCAATACAAAAAAAAAAAAGGAGGAAAAAAAAACAGGAAAAAATCTTGTTATTCCCTTGCATACGACTTTGCAGTTAGCTGCTTTACTTTGCAGGGGAACCCCCAATTTAAAAAAAAACAAAAAACCACACAAACAAGCAAAACCCAAGCGAAACAAACAAAACACCCCCACCACAATGGTTTAAAACAAAATAAGTTTTAAAAAAAAAAGCAGCAAAGCAGTTAAGGTTTTCATTACTGCTACCTGCCCTGTTTCAAATCCTCCAGTAATCCAGGCTGAAACAATTTCTTTAGAGCTGTGAATTTAACCCATTAACAAAATCCTGCCTTATTTTTATTTCAGGACAGAGAAAGAGAGGAGCAGAAGCAGCAATCTCAGGTTTTAACAGGAAATTGATAGGTATTTTTCCCTTCTCTAAAGCTAATTACAGAACAGTTTCACAAAAAAAGTTCAGCATAAATATCTGCTTAAAAGCAATTTCAGCTTCCTCACTTTCAGGGCTAAGCAGTGACACCATAATTAAAACAAGTGCAGAAAACTCAGGACAGTAAAACCACTGCCTAGTTGAACAATTTCAGCAGCACAGGCCTTTTGGGTAGAATAAAAATAAAAAGGTAGCTCTTTTCTGAGCAGCAAAGTTGATTCAGCCAAGATGGAGAGAAATACTCGGTTCTGGCTCTGCATTACCAGAATCGTTAATGATTCCCCAGTAGATTAGTTAAATCCAGACCCAAACCTACTGTGAAGCAAATATGATCTGAGCCAAAAAGCATCCTGCACAACTCAAACTTCTCAGTTACTGTGGCAAGACTGACAAAAAAGAAAGCTTTCCTTATTAACTAAGCCCATTCATTTTGGAAATGAGTGATATACCTTATCTGAAACAAAGGCCTTACTTGCTATTTAATTAACTTGAAAGTTGCTCGATATAAGAAACCTGAAGTTTCTAAGGTCACCATGGCCTTTTGATAGGATACAGCAAGGCACCATCCCATAATTACTGAATGGTCTGTATTACGAAGGTAAGGGGATTTGAGGGGATAAACACAGCGGAAGGCCCACTGCTTTGCTTTTAAACCCAGATTTCCTACCTAGTAAAAGGAGGTCCCAGCAGTTCCTTGCCTTCCAGAGATTCCAGAAGGAAGTCAGGCTTCTGTGGCAGTAACCTTCCTTGAATAGCATTTCTGAAAAGAACAAACAGAACCACAGAACCAATAATGGCCCAAGATTCACGATTATTTTCAATTGGCATGAGCTGGCATTGCAGGGAAACAGCCCTACTCCATCATTTGTCCCTGCTCTGCCACATTCCCCTTGCATGCACTAATATTTTTCAAAGATTAAATCTCAACCTGTATTAATGCCACAGTCTGGTTCACCATATTGAAGGCAACTTGATCAGTAAGACTTTTTTAAGCAAAGCTTCCCCAAGGGGAAAGGGGCAAGAAGAAAGCTCAGTTTCTATAAAGCCAGGATCTTTCTGTTTAGCATTTCATCAGACCCTACACATGACTTCTTTTTTTTTTAAAAAAAAAAAAAGTGCTTCAGTGACAGCTCTAGGTCACTCTGGCAGGATAAGCTTTTATGATGCTAAAAGTCTCATCACCTACATCTTTCCAACGTTTCCCTGTGTAACTGTTCCTATGAGAAACAACCAATGCTCCATGAAATCATAGCTGTATATTGAGAAATGCAGAGTGGAAAGTATATAGCTGAGTTGATTCTACCTGTCACTGATACGTAACTATGAAGTCACAAATTCTTTCATTATTTGTGGGCTGATGTATGCAGTACGCAGCAGCTCTGCAATGCCAGTTGCACAATGCAGGGTCAGAAAAAGAGGAAAACTGCATGGATCTAACAGTCATTGGTGTGAAAAGTTGGAAATACAAAAATGAGAGACACACTACATATATGCAGAGAGAAACAGGCTACACCTGTGCAAAACTACTTATATGCCAGAGACACACAGGAGGGACTAGAACCTGACACTCACAGATCACCGAGAATCAAGTCCCCATCAGCAAGGTGAGATGGCAGATGACGGCATTTCAAAGGCCATGGCTCTTCCTCTGCCGAATGTCCTCTTGTCTCAGGGCTACCGTCAGGCATGTTAAATGTCACCTGCTTCTTGAGAGGTGGCAAAAAAGAATGAGGCTTATTAATTTATTAGGCTTATTCAATTTATTAGAGAGCGCCTTCTGTTTCCACAGCATGGCACAACGATACACTGACTAGTGAAGGCTGTAGGCTGCCTGCCAACACAAAGACTAGCAGAGCATTTGATGGCTGAGAGGAGGAAGCAATCCCCAGCCACCCGGGGAGAACACCACAGAAAGGAACCGAGATTTCCAATGACCTCACAATTGTACCAGCCCTGTAAGCTGAATTAGCAGGCCTGCTGTGGTAACATTTGGGTAAGGAGAATTAACTGGGTACTTCTGCAGCAAGGCAGGCTGCACATTAGCAAACGAACAACGAACATCTTGAAAATCAGGAAAAGAGCTGGGAAAGCTGCCCAGGAGCAGGAAGATACAGGCATCCTTATCTTCATTTCCACACACAGGGCTGGGCTGACACTCAAAGGCAGAAGTGACACAAGCTCACATTTGAAGGTAAAAGTGGCGCTAAAGCTACAACAGGATTAGATGCAGCCTCTAATGTTTCACTCTTACAGAATTTAGAGACCAGACTTGAGCCACATGTAAAGGTTTCATGAAGCAACATTGTCTATGCTAGGAATTGGCCAGTTTTGAAATAGCTTCATTAAAAAAAGATTCCCAATTCGCAACACAAGTGCTTTAGTCTCAACTAAACAAAAGGACGAGGCATTTTGCTTTGAACCACAGACGAAAGCATACGTCAGATCCAAACAAGAGTTGAGCTGGAGGGCTCCAAGATACACACAACGCACACACACCACGCACACACCACACACACAGAGTAGATCAGAGCAGACCAGTCCTGGGTGTATCAGAGCAATCACTTGCCTCTTTCACCTTCAGCTGGTGCTGGGCTTGGAGGTGTCCCTCCAACTGCCTCATGCCAGCTGGGTATAACAAGACCTGGGTTACATCTTCTCTTGGAAGAGCAGTATGGTAAACTTGTCGGGCTTTTTCAAGGCCATCTTTCTTCTGCTGTTGTCCCTTCGCAAATCTGAGCCAAGCATTAAATACCTACGAAATGAACAGCAGATAGCTGCAGTGTTACAAAGACAGATTCAGGGCCTGGCACTCCCCCTGCAGACAGGAACACTTTTCCTTCCACTGGACAGTAACGGACAGAGCTACAGCAACAGCATGACACTACTACAAGGACAAAAGGACAGGGATTTAAGTCAGCTGAGGCTGGATGGAGAAAAACATGTGAAAATTTTTTAATCAGATAAGAGGATTTAGGACAGTTTTCTAGCATCCTAAAATAACATACAGTACCCGAAAGATGAAAGGAAACAGATACTCAAGGTGCATGCTGCTGACTGCAGTCAAATCTGCATAGGATCTGCAAATTCACTTGTCTGTCCCTGACCCCCACACCTTTACCTTTCTCTGCAGTGAAAGGGACCAGTGCCACAATGCTTGCAAGGTCTTCTGCTTTTCCCATTGCTGCTGCAACAGCTATCAGGGAAAAAAATTGCACAGCAACCAGGTTAGGAGTTCACATATCCCACACCAAAAACATTAGCCAGGGCATCAGCCAAAGAGCACATGCTGGTGGGGCCATAGGATAATAACCTACTCATTTCACCCAGTATGTGGCAAGGTGTCTCTTGTGCTAGTAAAACCAACAATCAAGAAAAAGTTTAAATAAATTTTTGTGGTCTTCATGTACAAATGGAATATGAAGGAGAAAGGATGAAGACCAGCAAGTAGCTAGATACCTATTAAGGGGACAATTCCTTACCCGCATCTTCCAGCAAGAGAAGGAAGCAGAGCAAAGTCTATGAGCCATTAGCTGATCTCCCTGTCTCTGTAACAGCTGTAAGGCAATCAAAAAAGTGAGTCACTTGCAGAAAAAACACACTTATCTGAGCCAAATGCTACCAGAGCAGAACAGGTCCAAACAGCCTTTACCATCCTCCCTTTGTTCTGAAGAGGCCACTCTCAACATCCAGGTGTCCTACTGTGTAACCCCATTTGCAAATATTTATGAGCCCAGCAAGGATTTCATTAACAGTAAACGATCCCACACATGGCTTGTCATCTCGTTAAGTCTGTTAGTTCTGTCAAAGCTTCTTCAGACAAGACACAGGCATGCTCCTTCCTCTTCAATGCACAAGGCTGTCACGCATCTCCTCAACCAAGACTACCACTCCTTCCACAAGTGGACATGGCCCAATCCTCCACACCCGAACTTCCCACCCTGGGTCACTGGCTGGGAAGGCTGATGATCCTCCTCACCATCTTCCCCAGGCACCGCTGATGATACTTCCTCCATTTCACCAGGTACTTCTGGAGTAGGTGCTGCTGGTGATGCTCTACTGCCCTGTGCTGCTGGGCCCTCAGCATCAGACACTGTCTAGTTAACTCCTTCCAGTGAAGGAACAGGGTCTGTAAGCGCACTGTGAGGAGAAAATAAATTAACTAATGTACCAAAAGGACACTATTAATCTCAGAGACCATCAGGTGATCAGCCACGCTTCCAGACTGTTTCAGCAGTATTTAACACTGACAATATTCAGCACTGACAGTACTCAGCACTAGGAAGACGGATCAGGAAACACCTGAGGTAACTGACAGTACCCTGATGCCATTGACATTCTTCATAATCTTTAGGAAATCATTTGGTCTCTGTGCTTCAAAGTCCTCATGTCAAGAACGTGGCTGGTACCATGAAAATGTTTTAATTACTAGAGAAAGACTGAAACAGTAATTGAGAAGATTATTTGGACTGCCCTTGAAACAGAGACATCCGAACCTCTCAAAATTAGTCCTGGAAAATTTATTTGAAGAAGGAAGTGCTACCATGCCTTATACAGACAAGGAACCGACAGAGAAACAAAAGTCACGCAAACAGCCTTCCACAGATCATTGGAGGCCCCAGTCACTCCCCATTCTCTGAGGATGTCCTTTGTAGGCTGAATAGACTATCCAGTCATTTCATCTATACAGACAACACAAAAGACTGCCCTACTAAGCCATGTCTTTCTAAGGATCATACACAGATAACTAAGTCTTTTGAGAGCTTAATACCTCCATCAGCTCACCTGTATCCAAATGTTTTCTGGCCTCCATCACAGCTGCCACCTTCTGCTGGCGGCAACCCATTTGCAACAGGGCAGCGCATCTCCACTGTAGCAACACCTGCAGAGACAATGCAAACGAGACAGGACACAGACTGCTGCTGCAGTGTTCTCTGGAAGGGGAAGCAACACGCTCCATCTCTTTTTTTCACATAAGACTCAACAAGACAGTGCAAATTACCTACAAATTAAATGCAGTAGTATTTCATATGGCTTCCCTCGCAATTTTCAAGGCAATTGCTGTCCTTCCACCTCCCCACCTGGTAATGCTGTTATGCTGTATCATACTACTGGATTCCCCCTCCTTATAGGAAATGGGGAGAAGCAAAGAAAGAGCAAAAACCATGAGCTGAGGTGCCTGTAAAAATAAGATGGGACTCATGCTTTTTAGACCTTTCTTAGTAGTGGCTCTTAGATTGTCTTTGCTTCTGCTAACTGTATTACGTGATGGCTGCTTGAACTAGCATCTGTACTTAGACCTTGTTATCTGCTATACAGATCCTACCTTTGACAGGATTACTCTCCTGTAGTGCTCATCTGCCCAAGTAATCACCTTAGCTTCACATATAAGAGCAAGGGTATTTTCTCTCCATATACACAGAACTCGTCTGAAGGCAAAATACAGAAAATATTAAAACCAAACAAAACCATTAAGAATTATTCTCATATGTTCATTTGGCACCTTCCCACTCACAGGGGAACCAAAACCAGCCACCTCTAGAAACTCAAGTCTTGCAACTCAACTTCTGCCCCTTCAGGTCTCTCTGACAAAAAGGCAGTGCTAACACAGAACACACCCTTATATCCAGCATTTTAAGCTGAGTCAGTCAGGCTCTTCGAGGGACTCAAGGTGCAGAGCACTACATCAAAAGAGGCAGTTAAAACTAAAGCAGTAACAACCGATACAAAGTGCTATTATCTTTAGTTGCTCTCCTCACTGTAAGCCAAAACAGCCCCCACATCTTCCAGGCTGCTTTAACATCACAGCAGTCAGAATCCATGCACTGCAGGGAATGATATCGTTTGCTATCTGCTGTCTCTCATGGGACCAAACAGAGACTTTAAAATAAAACAAACCAACAGAAAAACACCAAAACAAAAGTTAAAAAGAGCAGGCAATCCAGGAAGAGGTTGACAACTTTTAGCTAGATAACCTGCACAGAAATAGCGATGCATGGCAGAGTCCATTCACAGCACTGAACAAGCAAAAATTTACAAACATGGCAGTGAAAATCTGACTGCACTTCTCTCTCACGCAGCACAAGGAAACACAGGCTTACCGCAGCAGCAGGCTAGCGTGCTCTTTCTCCTTTTCGGCTACTTGGTATAGAATGCACTGCACGTTACGCTGGTAACCCTGCAAAAAAAAGAAGTTAGAGCTAAAACTTCCCTCAACTGTCAACATCTCTGAGGAGATATCTGGAAACTCTCAGGGGCAAATTAGAAGAGTAGTAGTGGCAGTAGAGGATATTGTGGGGGCGGGACAGATGTTACAGCCACTGAAATTGAATGCTGCTTTTCTGGGATGAACAACCATTACAGACTAGTTAATGCTAGCTGTTACATGCTCTTCACCAATGCCACAAGATTACACTAGTTCTTTTGCTCCAAAAAGCAATGCTAGAGCTTATACAACGCTAGCCTTCGCTCCACCTTGGTGTATAAGTGCCCGAGCGAAATGGTGTGGCAGCTCTCCAGTTCTCACTGAAACACTTAAGCACACACAGACATGTCCCTCAAAGAAAAGGACCTTTCCTCCTACCTTCCAGGCTGCCAAGGTCTTGCCCAGTAATGTGTGCTGATAGTGCATGTCGGCTTGTACCAACTTCCTCCACTTCTCATGCTGATGTCCCACATACTATAAAAGGAGGGGAGCAGATGAAGAAAGGGGAAAAAAAAAAAAAACATACATGTGATGGAGGGAAAACTCGCAGTAGAACTTTTTTTCTGCTCTTTTTAGGAATCTTCTTCGACTGATGCAATTGACTCAAGTTAACAGTTCCAGACCAACAGACTAATGAACTCTAACATTTGTCAGATTCTTGAGACACGCTGCAAGGCCTATTTGGTACACTGCATCCTGGTACAGAAAAGGCCCAGTACAGAAGCGAAGACCCATCTGACAGGGCCCTCTATGACCTGTACACAGCTACAGGGCACAATCACAGCCTTGCTGCAAACATCTAACTTAAGTAAAGCTTTGAGAAGGCCAGGCACAGTACCAGCTAGGGACAATCCCATCACACTAACTCTGGTTACACTCCCAGGTAAATCTCCTGAACTATAGTCTCATTCTCACTACATCTAGACACGTGAAGAAGCTAAAGAACTTCCTCTGCTTTCTACACAATTCCAGTTCTGCCCACACAGAACTGGTTTTATCCACCTGGAAAGGGAAAACTTAGGAACGATTAGCGTTTAAAACAATTTCATTTCCAGCCACACAAGTATAAGCAATCTGAACCTAACAAAAAGGACTCAAGCTCTTCTCCATCTGTTATCTCTTACCTCCCTCCACTTGTTCCAAGCCTGCTGCAGACACTTTGAATAGTGAAATCTTAAGGCTTGCATCACCTTGAGCCTCCTATAAGAAAAATAATTATTTCTCCTACAACGCAATCCATGTTACTGAACATCTCTAGCAAAGACTTGAGTCCACACTTGCTATTTTCAGGAGGTCATTTACTGAAAGATGAACTAGTAGATTCCAAAGCACAAATAAGGAGCCAGAATCACAGTGAATTAAATACTGCTTTGTCAAAAGCAGGCCACCACCACAGGGCCACTCCAAGTAATTCTACCCTGTAAAAAAAACTTCTTACTTGGCTTTTCCCTCCTGAGTACTTTGCTTCCACAGAGAGAAAGCCTTTAGCAGCAGCAGGTTACTGTAGTGATCTCTTGCATGAGCCAAACCCTCTCGTTCCTCCAAACTTGCAGCTGTTCTACACCAGAAGGACCAGAAACAACGTAATAGTTGCCTTTCAAAATGAAGTACAGCCTATAACAGAAATAAGGTGACAAACGAATTAATGACACAGGCCAGTTACAAAAACACAGAAGACAACTCCTTAAAGATGACATGCACAGATCTTTGCAATGTTTATTTTCGTCTTGTCACACCGAACAGCAATAGACATAACATCAAAGTCCCTTTGCTGTAAGTTGATATGACTGTGTTGTACAGGTACCTATATGCATGCAGATGGAGAAACTGTTACCAGAACACAGAGGGCCAAAAAGAGGAAAAGTACAAGCTGATAAAGTAGCATGTGAACAACTCCCCAAAACCGATAAACTCCAGAAACCACTCCTGTTGAATCTAGAAGAACTGATAATCCCAGAACACCCAGAACTCAGCCAGCCCTATTTGCACAAGGCCACCCACACGTTCTGCCATTAACTCTCAGTTGTGTAACTCAGACCGCATAAAAGGCAGCAGTAGCTGCTATATGTAAAGACTACAGGATTATATACACACCCTGGGAAATTAAGGACGCCTTAAGCGACTTTCTGGACAGCTACCTAGAAGGAACTAGCTTGTCAGTACAACCCTGCACTTCTTAAATAGATTGGAGGTTGGCTCTTTATCACTATTTTTGTTTCAGCCAGGTAACTGTGGAACACAGTGTGAAAGAGAGAGCACACACGTATTTAGTGGGTGAGGGAATAAGTGAATGAACTGTGTTAATAGCTACCCTCTAACAGTAACATCTTCATTCTGGTATTAATAAACTGCTTGACTTAAAGGTGATCTGTAAATACTGGCTGCATTCTGGTTTCCCTTGACTTGATCCCCCACCAGGGAAAAGGGAATTTACAACACCCAAGTCCACCTCATGCTAACTCATGTTCACAGACAGCAAGTAAGAAATCAGCCCCTCTATTTCCTACGCAAAGCCAGGTAAGAGAGTTCCATTTACCTTCTTCTCTCCCATTCGGTATTCTTGCCGCTTGCAGGCGTTCAACAACCACGTGTCAAATACCTGTCTCATCAATACCCTCCTGCAAGCAAAAAGGGAGAATGTCAGCACAGGATAGAAATCCTTCAGAAAAGAGATTGATCTTATATTCATCAAAAGACCAATCCATCCAAAATTTAAAAGGTATTTGATTTTTCAAGTCACATAAGTCTTCCTTGGAAATCAGACAGCTATATGTCTGTTTTTTAACCGAGAGTAATGAGGACAATGTCCCCTAAAATCTTACCCAGAATACATGAGACAAGACTAACGAATTACTTGAAGTTACAACTCCCTGCTTTCATTCAGTTCATTCAAACAGTTGTTCTGACTTCTGACCAATTAATCTTATTTATAAACACGCATATAAAAAAAAAAAGTATAATAACCTTTTATTTCTTCTCCACTGTAAATACAGTCTACTCCCTCCTCCCTTTTTTTATTTAAAATAAAACAAATCAAACATTGTAATAGGACTTGGAAAAAAGATATAACAACCAGTAATAAAATAATAAAGAGCAGTGTAGAATCATAGAATCATAGAATCATAGAATGGCCTAAGCTGGAAGGGACCTTAGAGATCATTTTACCCAGCCTCCCTGCCGCCAGGGTCACCACCTCTCGACTAGATCAGGCAACACGTGGGGACCGAACGGGAATCGAAGCCGCAACCTTAGTGTTGTTAGTGCCATGCTCAACTGACTGAGCTAGTCTGATCTCAACACAGAGGGAATTTCACCAAAGCTTTCTTTTACAACCAAGGTCAGGTTAGTTGCCCTCACTATCAAAGCTTCTTTCTCTCTAGAGGAAGATAACTCTTGCTAGTCTGCCTCCTCCCCAGGGATGCACTAGAATCATTATCAAGTAACATCCCAAAAAAGCAACTAATATATATTTGTGATTGAGCACTATATATATACACACCCGTCTCAGAACAAGCATGTGGTAGAAGCACCCTAGTCCAGAAGTCTGAGCTACAGCCCAGTGGAAACAACACACAGTGGAAGCAGCACCAGTTATTCCCCAAACTCGGTCATGTGGGCGTACTAATTAGATTGTCAGCAAGTCTCAGCTCTTCTCCAGTCTAAAGAGGTCTAAAACGTATTTTGGATTCTTACCAGATAATTCCTGGTAGGTAGGTGCTACAGCTCATTACAAGTTTATAAGGTTGGTAAACAACATGAGCTAAGTAACTCTTCCTGGAGGGTACTGGTAGTTGGCAGCAAGAGTGTCTTTGATCTGCAGACAGTCTCAAATTTGACTGACAGCTCTTCTTGGGTAACCCCTAGGTCTTCCCACCAGACACAGCAATTGGGGCACTGACTCATGAGACTGCACAGCACACATGTGCACCAGAGGCCAACAGGGAAGTCGTGTTCTGGCAAGCTGTCACGCAAGTTTTATTTGGGTCTGGCTGGAAACCAGCCCCAGACCTCTAAGCAGGGAACGTTTGTCCTTCTGTGTTCAGGAAATAGAACTTTGTTTATACTCTTTCTAAAGAGAAAAGATTGCACACAGAAGAATTCCTGACCCATGAAATCAAGGTATGGCTACAGAACCAACGAGAACCTTCGAACCATCTGTTCATCCCTTCTCTGGCAAGAGGCATGAACTACACTGCAGCAGTTGCAGGCTGCAACTCATCTTCACTGAGCTTAACCTCCTGAGTCTTTGAGCCTTTTCTCTCTCATGTCCAGAGGGTAAGCTAAAGCACCACAGCTGCACTCTCACACCAGCTGGTAAAAGCTCCTAACTGCTCACAGAAACACAGCTGCCCTCATTCCTCAGCCTGCCCTGCAAACCTATTGTCTATCTCCCAAAAAGCAAGCCAGTAGTATCCAAGGCAAACCAGATTTTCCGAAGCCCAGGTCCTGATGACAGAAGGGTATGAATCTAGAACACGAGGAGTGACCACCCTCTGCCAATTTTCATTGGTGCAAGGGTCCAAGTCTACTGGTAAATAAGATTCAATGCTAAAAAATATTTTGTGGGGAGAGATGCCTTAAAGACCTTGCCTGGATTTGTATCCTTAACCCATGGATTCAGTGTTGATTCTTCAGCAAACTCCACTTCTGGTTGCTTTATTAATGTTGACTTATTCTAAATAAGTCTAAATAAATTCAGCTTCTGTAAAAGTACCTTTGCTCTTATAGTACCTCTAGCAGCAGAGGTAGCACGCAAGAGGCATCAACTCCACCTGCTCTTCCCCAAAGTAAAGCAGCAGCAAGCATTTCGAGCTTCGACCGTGCTCGTGCTGCAGTCTACTGCTCTTACCAGTAAAACTTACAGCTCTCAGATCCAAACAACCTTTAGAGCTAGGCTTAGTCAATCCTGCTCTTACATTTCACAGAAAACCAGATGTAGATTTTCCGTTACTCATTGAAAATATAAGAACAATTGGCATCAGGATGGCCATTCCCTGAATGCTATTACCAGATTTTAAAAGAGAACCAAAGGCCCACAAATCCCACATTTGTACAGATTTATATTAATATTTCCCTGCGTACCTATAATGGGCATGAGCCACTGACATTAAGGCTTGTTGCTGTTCTTCCTCCTTTTCTTCCAAACGTGACTTCCAGCAGTTCCAGTACTTCTGCAGCACCTGAAACAAAACAGAGACATGAGAAACACACAGATAGCAAGGGAGGAGGAGAATGCAAAGAAAGAAATTATAGATGTCCTACTTAACTGCATGCTGCAATAGCTGCCTCCCACACCGCTTCATATACCAGACTTGTTTTATAACCTGCTATGAATTTTTCTGGTAAAAGTCACCATGAACATAGGAAACAGAAAACTAAAATAACGTATTTAAGACTGACAGTTGACTTACATGGGAGATTTTCTGTGGCTAACAGCATTTAGGAACAAAGCTACTGATTTAGTAAAGTATTTTGTAGGTGAAAGTGAAAGCTAATAGTACAGCTCAAGAAAAACAGAAGAACAATAACGAAAAAAAGTCAGACTCACTGTAACTTGATGCTGACGGTATGACAGATTTTTTCTGATTTGCTGAAGACGAGCGTTCATGACATTCTGCCAAAGACCCTTAAACCCAAGTTTCTGCAACAAGAAATGCAGACAACATTCATATAATCCAAGTCAGCCAGCACTAGTAAGTTTAGAACCAGCTGCTCCTTACAATCTGATACTCCTTGCAACAACTAAAGATGTACGAACTCGTCATCAAAGCCAGGCATCAATTTCCTCTCACAAATTGTCACTTCTCCAGCTAAACCACAACTCCTTCAATTTTCCCAGAGTTCTTTCTGTGACATGTTTAACTCCTCCTTTAATTCAAGGCTCATAACTTGCTCCTTATCAAAAATAGCAAAGATCCATTTCACTTTCAGGTCTTCTCTGCATGAGGTCATTTGATCTACAGTCCCACAATACCTTGATTCACAGATGAACATGGTAAGTAGCATTATGAGAGCATCCTGCCATAAAGTGCTCCTACAGTTACTAACATCTGTGATCCAAACAGGTTTATTGCCAGTCCTTTGATGATTTGGTACTGATCCACACTTGAAAAATAAAAAACAGTTTTGAAAAAGCTGGAGGCTCGCTTGCACCTTTCAGACAGCCTTCAAGGATTTCTCTTAGTTATTCAACTACCTGTATATGCAATAAGCTATCTTTGGACTCATGTCAAAAGAAGCACACACACATTACTACAAAGGGAAAAAAAAACTTAAACTACTGTAAGCAGACAGCAACATTTGTGGTAGAAGTGAGAAGAAAAAACAAAAATCAGCAAAAATCAAGGGGAAAATGCAATCTCATGGTGAAATGGCCAGCAAGCATAGTAGCCCAATACAATCAAGATTAATCTGCTATTTCACCAGTTTCTCAGTTGTAAGAACAACTGCTTTGGAGAGCAGCACAGTTTTCCCATTGGGATTCAACTGGTAGATTCCAGAATAGTTGAAATTTAGAAATCTGATGCCTAATTTAAACTCGCTATGGCAGAAAACCATGCACTCCCCACTTCACACCCACACACCACTGTCAGTGTTCACAGCACACGCCAGTCAAGTCTGTGAATTCTCTCCACGTGCTCTTCCCCCTGATGTGTAAGTGCTCTTACCAACAGATGACGCCTGTGGTGTTTTTCAGCCAGCTCACACTGCCCAGTCTCTTCCACACACAGTACATCTGTCACTGAGTTAAAGTACATTTTACACAGAAACATCCATCCCTATATATACACAACATTCTCCGACAGAGGAGCATTAGATCTTCATCTACATTTGCTTCAATATTTGAATTTCCAGCACTGATACTGGCACAAGTTTTGAGTACAGTCAAGTTTCTACATTTCGCTAGCTTATCACAATACATTTCGGACCCACTGTTAAATAAGGAATGCTTCCCCAATCTTAAATTATCTTCTGCAGGCTCTTAGCCGTCAACAGGCTAACATACTGTGATGGCAACAGTTTTAATTGTTAGCATGGTCTAACATACATCTTTCTAATGATAACATGTACAATAGTGTGGGTGACAACAAACAACCCTCCTGCTTATTAACCAGATCCTTCCCCCACAGGAATGCTTTTAGCCTGTCCCTGCTAGGGACTAAATACAGATTGGATACAATGCTTCCAGTGTGCAAAAACTCTCCGTAAGGCAATCCTTGCTGCTAGTCTTTCAACGTCCTTTTGGTGAGCGTGCATTCTTCTCCTGTGCTCACACGACAGCCACCAGTCAGAAAAACACTGTTGGACTATCCTGCTTCGGTGATGCTCTTGGGCCAGCGCTAGAAAACACACACAGAAATCACTCAACTTGTTCCATCCTGGGCTGATTTATATCAGATGAGGCCGTGACATTTAAGCCACTAGTTCTGAAGTGACAGAAGCTCTAACACTGAAATATCATGGTAAGAATTCACAGTAAAACTAAGCTACGGACTATATTCTCCCTATTGATAACAAAGGCAGTTTTAAAACAGTAACATACTGCACTGACTTAAGAAGGGGAAGTTAAGCCACTGAGTCACTTGTTCAATATACAAAAGCTTGCTTTCAGCATACTCCTATTACTGGATCCCAGATATCCAGGCTGGATTCTTTCTCACCGCCACCAATCAAGAGGCAACTCACACAAATGTCTGAACTCATTCCAGCACTCCAAGGGAAGAAATAGAACTGGTGTATGAATCTTTTACCACCCTGTACGAGTTGTGATTTCTCCAATTATCAAGAAAATCCACACACAGATTGACTGATGATAATCCTGAATAAGTCCTTCCCACAGCTATCTCAGAATATAATATACAATGTGCAAGTTTTTGTCAAGGGAACTGTGAAGCGTTTTCTTTTAAATCACATGGAGAGCAGGTGATCTTCCCAACAGTTCAGTGCATACCCTTTAGCTCACCAGGCCTGTGACAGTGTACAGCCCGAGCCACAACTCATCACCTGATAAACAAGCAGGAACATTGCAGCATCTCCTAGAAGTGAAAAAACCACATCACTGTGCCTTAAGTAAAGCAGCTGAGCCCTGTCCTGTCCTAACTCACCATTCTGATGTTTCTTCACTCTGTGGAGGTTTAAGTATCCCAGCCATGCTTCCATGCATCTCTTCAATTTCCAGTGCTGATGGTGAGTTACTGCCCTAGTCTGCTTCTGCTTGTCATTCTGGCTGTATAAATACAGTTCTCGCCATTGCAACCAAGCCTGGCAAAGTAATCCAGGGAGAACAGTAAGAGGAAAAAAAAACCCAACAAACAGACAAAGAGTAGGGAAGTAGAACAAAGAAGAGGAAGACACAGGCAATAGAAAATTCCACCTAAGACCTAAAGGTGAAAGGTTCCTCCCCACAAGGTGGGAAAAAAAAGCAGCCACCACCAAACGAACGTTTGCATAGCAAAAAAATCAAAGATAATGTCAGTATCAAACTTTTCTCCTTTTTTGATACTTCAGCACTTTTTTTATTAAAAGGAAAAAATAATACCTTTCAGACAAAAAAAAATAATACTTTTTAAATGAATCTGCAACATATTACACGAGTGCAACCTAAAATATTAGGAATGGTAGCAGTTGGAGCTCCTGTAACTTACTCGAAATTGCAGGCTCTGGGCCCAATGCTGCAGAGCCAAAATATTCATTTTACGTCCAGTGCCATTCTGGTAGCGTCTTCTCCACACTGCCCACGATACGCTGCCAAAACAATGTTACAGAAAGGTTCAAACACAGGTTCCACAGTTTGGTGCAAGAAATCACGTCCCTCTCACTGGAAAAAGGCACGAACAATAGTCTTTTAAATTTACAATCCATGGGCATACCAGAAGAATTCACACACACACACACACACACCCCCCAAAGAGGTGAAAAAAAAAAAAAAGAACATAGAAGGCTCAAAATATAACAGAACACAGGTAAAACAGCCTTATAGTCAGCACCCCTCTGCCCATTTCTCCGTCATTCTTACCGCAAACAGCTCCTCTCCCTGAATGCCAATGCCACAGACCGCAACCCATGTTTTGTCCTTTGAACATCAACATAAACCAACCAGCACTGCCAGCTCCTGAGCAATATTTGCGTCTTTGCTGTGCACAAAAATAAAATTACAGCATCTTCAGTTCATGCAAAAATCTAGCATTTTTTAAGCACTCCCTAACACCACTTCTTCCCCAACCTCCAGTCCCCTCAACCTGCAGTGACATCTCGTGGGAAAGCCTGAAACAACAGACATCAGAGCACCCGTCCACTCTGGCTGAGGGCACCACACTGACCAGAATCTCTGGATCGCTGACAGCATCATGCCACTTGTTCAGAGCAGCGTGAATTATCAGACAATGGCACGGCTTTGTCTTCAGTGCTTACAGGGTATAGAACTGTATAACAATATTCAGTGGGAAAACCTTACTGGGTAAGATTTACCGGATTTTCTTTGGTTGGTTTTTTTAAAAAAAGTTCATCAGGTTCATCAGTAGCTTTTCAAGAGTCTTTCTCTATTACAAGCAGAGAAATCAACCAGGAACAAGTTAAGTTTATCTAACAGGCTGGTCACACAGCTAAAAACAGAAGTGGTGTTACAAATTCCAGTTTATCACTTTATGCAGTGCACTGCACTTTCTCCTTACAACAGTCTGGCTTGTCAAAACTGACACTATTGAAGGAAAGTTTTTTTGAAAAAACATTATTGATTTTATCAATACACTAAAAAACCCCCAACCTCTTTTTATTTTTTAATTAAGATTTCCTTGTGATCTGGTGAATCAAGTATTAACCTACATAAAGACAGTTCACTTTTTTATCTTTTTGATGAATTAACACACAGCTGCTTCAGTAAGTGCTCTGGCCCCACTAAGAAAGGGAATCAGTTTGTTTCCAAAGGTGACAGTCTGCATAACACTTTGAGGCTAGATTCACAGACAAAGAGACTAGTTAATTAATTTTGCATATCAGCACAGAACAAAACTACAGTACATCTTTAAAACAGGGTCATCCTTCCCTTCAGGGAAACAGATACTCCCCAGAACCAAAGGAAGTTGCAACCAATGTAGACAGCTTCATCAGTTAGATAAATCCATTGCACAACAAAGAATCTACACAGTAAGACAAGGGGCACCTCAAAAGCTTGGGCTTCTTTTCAATTGCAAGACACAAGCTGGAAGGAATAGTGAATACAGACAAATATGTGCAGTGGATACCACAGGGAATTATAATCAAATTCCTACAGCCATGGTTGATAGAGAATTCCAATAACACACTCTACCAAAAATATCTATTTGAATACATATTGTGATAAAGTAAAAAAACTCCACAATCAAACACCAAAAAGGCCAACCAAACCACCCCCAAAAAAACCAAACAACACAATCCAGAGCAGATGGAGAGGCCCTTAAGCTTATTCACCAGCATCCCTAAATAACTATATAGCTACACAGCAGAGCAAACAGAATCCCCCTGCTAGCTTCAGACAGACAACCATCTGTACCTAAAAGCATTACACTTCCATGGGGTGGGGGAGGCCAATGTGCAAACGTAAAAGAGTAAATATTTCCCTTGGAAACTTGCATCTCGCTATGTCCCCAAATAAAGGTAATTATCATCACTCCATAGAATGTCTTAGGTTGGAAGAGACCTTAGAGATCATCTAAGCCAACCTCAACCAACTTCGCTCACCGTAAGACTCTGCAACATAATACTTGTTCCTCTTTCCTTGCTGTTGGCATACATAGGCTCTCCAAGCCTTGAATATCAAATTATGGAGAAAATGCCTGAAAAATGAAAGAAGTACCATTTAGTGAAATAGCTGCTGATGCCTAGGAAGTAGAATTCTTTCAAGCTCAGCTGCATTCTAAAGATAGGTTGGATAGGAAATTTTGACTTCGCCCTAAAACAACAGTAACAAAAAAATAGAGGGGAAGAAAAATAGGAAAATAAGCAATGAAGGCACTGCTATTGGCCTACAGGTACTGTTAGTGTAACTTGCTTACTGGTATTAATAACTCCTTGAGAACCTAAGGAAAATTTCTCATATCACTATGTAAACACAATAATAGGAAGTCATCTCACAAACCTGTAGTGGTTGTCTGCTCTGAGGCTGAGCTTCCTTTCTCTGCCAACAGTCCAGCGCTCCCTCCACTCTCCAAAAGCTTTTAGAAGAATCTTCTGGTCATAAAAGCATCTAAACAGTTGAAAGATTTGGACATGGGAAACTTCGCACAGGTTTCCAGGTTGACCACAAATCAGTTTTAATGAAGATTATGCTATGTCTTTTCCAACCTGTGTGATTATCCTAACAGCACCTGAGTGCATTAAAAACCACTACCTTGCTGTGACACTTTATTTTAAGACTGTGAAGTATGACAAGAAGCAACCATGTTACTGACTACAAATGCTTCATATAAAGTCAAGGAAGCAAAGACCAATGTTGTTAATTGACTTGTCAAGTATCACAGCATCAGACGACTTTAGACCTACCAACAACTCACATATTTTATCCCCAGATCTGTGTTTTACTTAACCAGGACAGTTGATAATGACGGATAAATTTTCCTTGCTAATTTTGTTCTCTGTATTTTAACACAAATATTTTATGTATGGAAATAAATACATAAGCTACTCCAGATTTTATAATGCTTCGAGATTTCCATTGTTCTCTTAGACTGATCTTTAGTCATCCCAAATTTAAAACAGGCTTAAGAACTCTTTCAGCTAGCTGCACATCATTTATGCCAAAACCAGAGTTGTTCATCTGCTCACGTGCCTTTTCCTTCCCATGGATGCTGTCGTGCACAAAATGGATCCACAAGTCACGTATGACCTTCAAAGTCTGTGACCTCAGTAGAACAGTCTCTGCTTTTACACCCAGATGTAACTAACACATACCTGACCAAGTAAGAAGTGATGCTACATTTCAACTGTATTGCAAACAACTAAAAATTCATATATAAAAAGCTCTGCGTGAGGGAATTATGATTTTTATTATGTAAATGAAAACAATAGTCATAATCTACTATTTCAAGCAATCTATTTGGTGGGGTTTTTTTAATTTTAAAATATTATCTCACACATTTCTCCATGTGGTCAAAACGACCTGGGCAGCAGCCTAAGAAACAGAAAGTCTTATCAACTCAAGTAGAAATACTTTCAAAAAATTACTCATCTCTTTGTATTTATGACGGAGAAAAGGAAATAAAAGAACCCATGAATACTCACAAGCTAATAAACAAAAAGCACACAAGCCTAGACTCAAAACTCTTGATCACAACTATCCCACTAGCTTAATGAAATTGGTCACGTAGAGGCCTCTCAGTGAAACATATGCAAATCCTCTCACAAGTAGCAATTCATAGCTACCTACCCCAAGCCAAGTTGCTAAGTCATTCCAAGCCCTCAAGCAGAAAAGGAAAGAAAAAGAAAAAGAAATGAGCTTGAGCTATATGGTGCGGTTTTTTGGATTTGGTGCATTAACAAAACAGTGCAGATAGAAGCTCTGAAGAACTGGAGACTCTACAATAAATCTAAAAAGGCAAGTAATTATTGCTTACGTTTCCTGATGAACTTTATAAAATGTATTTGTACCTATCACCCTAAAAAATCCCCAAAAAAACTAATCACTGTCCTGAATCTACACAAAGCCAAAATAGTGCAAGTTTTGTAATCGGGATGGCTCACATTCCAGAATTTTGTATTTGATACAGTACAATAAAATTGGGTAACTCAGGGCCTGATCTTAGTCTGACTGTAACAAACACAGGGAACTGCTTCAGTTCCCAAGGGTGTGGTCAAGCAAGAATGAACATGTAAATTAAAGCAAAACAAGAAAAGTATCAAAGCCCTGGTTCCCAGGAGCCAACAGAACACTAAAAACAGAAAGGAACCTTCGCCACAGGTATTTCAAAGTCAAATAGATACAAAGCACATGTAGATATACATAAAGAACAACAGCGCAAACAGTAAAATGAACTAAATTTCAAGATCTCTAGTTATAACTGAAAAATCATTATATTCAAAGCAGGTATCACAATCATACCCCAAAATTTATATGCATATACAGTTCAATTTCATCAAGACATCCACAATTTCTATGACTTTAGTCAAGTTTAATCATGATTAAAGAAAACACACAAAAGCAGGAGTAAGAAGGGTATTCAAAGGAAATCTTTAAGTAATCTCAAAAGACATTCAAATATTTTCTTGGCAGCCAGTATTCTCTTAGTCCAAAGGTACAGCACTAAACCATAAAAAAACCCACCAAACTACAAAGGAAACCCCAAAATACCATCCTTGATATCTGTAATTTTATCTACCTGGCTTTGTAAGGGAGAACTTGTCCAAATGTCTTTTTTGCCCACAGGTAGAAGAATTTCCTTGCTAGATACCTGGAATATAAAGAAAAGTTAGTTGCATTCATACTCATCCTGTTAATTCCCAGGCAGCAGTAAAAATATGAACTTCTATGCTGAAACTACAGTCTGTTTTAGAGAGAGCAATGCATATATGAAATATTTACACTCTGAAATTAGTACCTTTAACAGGACTATTCACCAAGCATAAGCAGAGGCCCAAGCATCCCTGCAAAACTTGAACTAGGACATACTTCTTCAGGAAACCTCAGCAGCTGAAATGACTTCAAAGCAGCCCACTTACACCCAGTAATACTAACGAGCAGTCTGCTTATTAACTGAGGAGCCTGTTTGTGATTTATAAACAGTAACACAGCATCACACATCGCTCTTTCCTGTAAATCAACCACCTGAGCCAGCCTCATTTCCAGAATACTTGAGCCAATCTAATGTTTAACCCTGCTTGAAATGAGCAGATGTTCCTTCTTCCTCTCTCCCCCACATCAGTTCTGCTTCTCAGCGAGCTTCTCCTAGTAGTTCAACTCGCTGATCTGTGATTGTGATACTGTCACCCCTTCCTCACCCCCTCCTTTTTTTTTTTTTTTTAACGGATTTAAGAGTTAATCAGCACACAGAAGGCCCCAATAAGCACCAAAGACCTAACAAGGTAATTAATTAAAGCACACGGCCATGAACAGGGCTTCCCTCTTCAGCAAGTCTGAGTTGCTAGATAAGCTCCACTTGCTCAACAAATACTAGGCTTTCAATGTCTAAACAATTAGCATCTCACCTTTGTCAAGTTTCTTTCAAAAAACAAAAGTAAAAAAACACAAAAGAAGGACAAGAGTAAATCATTACACCTGCCAGTCCCCATCAAAGCATATTGTTAAATAACCATTTTTAAAATTTACATTTGAAAATAAAAAAATATGTGAAATCTGACTGTGCCAGTGCATGTGCTGAAGCTACCACAACACATCTTCAGAACTGGCATGGTGTGAACAGAAACTTTCGCTTTACCCTGCACTTGCTTTAGGTCTCATCCCCTTGTGCCATGCAGTGAAAATTATGTTTTAGCACCTGATGGTTAAGCACCTGATTTGGAATTCTTTTAAACTTCCTCTTTGATGCCAGGTACATCCAACTTGATCCAGATTGTCATGATCCCTGTCCCAAGACTGAGGTCTTGCAGACTGGCGAGTAGCAGTTTGCCCAGTTACATGCATTTCATGCCTAGGTAGTTGTTGGATTTCATGCATCTTCAGAGATTTTGAACTTGAAAGGAAAGAAAGAATATTTTGTATAAAACTACATCAATTGCAAAGAGGAGGCATTATTTCAATACCTTAATCTACAACAAAGCTATACAATCGGATACAGAAGTTGACAGCTACAAAATGTTAAAACACATTTATTGTCTCTTTAACAGGCATTTTTCACTCTCTGGACTTCTAAAGTTGTTTCCCCAAGACAAGCAGGAAGACACTTTCAGTGCAATCGTGTCACAGACGATTCCTTTCTCCTTTAAAGCTGAAATGAAAAAACACTAAAATGCATTTGTGCTTCCCCTTCTGTGTGTATGCATACCACACGCCTTTACAGAGAAGATTTGAATGTGGTTTTCTACCTTTTATTCTCTAACATATCAAGGCATTCTGCCTATTGCTGAAAAATTATCTTGAGGACTAGGGAACTGAAATGAGAATTTCCCATTTTAACTTGAAATACAAATATGCAGTTATTTCAGAAAGCGCTCTTACCTAGCTTTTCTCATATTTTTTTTAAAAAAAAATCCCTCCCTGTTTTTACATTTCATCATTAAAAAGCAAAATTAGGTATATTTTCCCATCATAGTTTACTTTCACATGTAGTTCTAATCTGAAAAACAAATATGTTTTTATGAATTCTAACTGTTTTGTCTAATTTTCTGAAAACAAGAATGATAAAAAAAAATTCTAACCAGATAAAACTTGCTGAACCAGTTGTATTGGAGCTTCTTTCCCAAAACAAATACTGCCACCACCCTGAAAAATTGTGCATTAGAACCACAACCGCATTCTTGAACTCAGTAACAGGCAACAGAACAGAATAGTCTGAAGTTTCACCCTAATAATCACCTGAACTGAGCTAGGAAAAACACAGCTGTAGCCTTATAAAAAATGTTGATTCCATAAAGATTTTGGAACAATTCATACTACTGATTTTCAGGAGTTCAGCTGAATAACCCCTCACAGTATTAACAACAAATCCGTGAGGGAAAAAAAGGACAATAAAACCTAAACACAACACCTCCTCCTGAAAAAAAAATATTATTGGAAAAAATACAGTATTTTTGGCTTGTTCTAGCAAGCTGCAAGGACCTAAAACAAAGCTAATGAAACCAGATCTATTCTTTTGTGTGAAGGAAATTCTTGTTCTCCTGTAAAATATTATTTGAATGTTTTCTGAAAGAGGTGGGCCCTGCCTGGCAGACAAAAGAATTCTGTTAACGTGAAGATGTGCAGTTAAGGCAACTGTATGCACTTTTGAAAAAAAGTTTCAAGCACTTTTAAATTTACGTGAAATAGCTTTCAGCACAAGTTCTGGTACACATCTGTTAGGCCCAATTCTTTTTTAAACTGTCTAACCTGCTCCAAAGGTAAAGCTGGTCTGACCGTATGCAATGACAACGTAACACAACGCAGTCAAAAAATCAAGCTCGGGTAGAACACGTGAAAGTTTTGTATTAAAGATTAAAGCATGTGAATACTTGATCATTTTCCAACAACCATGATTTTTAACAGATTATTTCTAAATTTGAAACCCTGTACGTGCCCACATGTAGGGATGACAGCCCACTTGCATGAGAATTTATTGCAAGAAACCATGAAAATAAGAGTCAAAAAAGGATCATTTCCCCCCTTGTAAAATTAGAAAATAAATGCATGGGAAAAATAAAGAGAACTAATACAACAGAATAAACCTGTGGTTGGGCCAACAACTATATGCAAATATCTTATGTGCCCATCTAATACCTCAAGCACTTAATTTTTCTATCTGAATATTATAATGTAAACCCACATACAGTTGTGTTTTGTGATGGCTTTGGGGTAGGGCTGGTGTGTTTGTTGCTTTTTATTTTAAAAGGAACACTTTCTGGTTAATAATGTTTCAGAGACCAATAAGCTCTCATATGAGAGTAACCCAACTTTCTTCTGTGCCATGGCATGCCTAAAATGTCATAATTTTAAAAAGAAAATAAAATTAGAGCTGAAGTTTTCAACAAGGTGGCGTCCCAGCCTAGGCCATTCTATGATTCTATTATTTATTGCTGACCTGCTTGGCTTCTGGATTTCTCCTGTTTTGCTACAGTTCCAAGCCTACAGTAAACAAATGCACTCTCTGCACTGCAATGGTGTTTATTAGCTCTGGTCAAACAATAAATTAGTTCCTGATGAATCCATCAAATGGATTTATGCTAAATGCAATCTGCATCTTAACAATGACAGAAATTCCACTCACTTGACCTGGATACAAATAACATAATGGAATTTTAGATGTTTAAAACATGAAAAGCATCTGTTTGCACACTCACAGCCTTGCTGACCTGAACAATACCTTGCCAGCATAGTCTGTTGATAATAAAGTCATAGCTGGCTGAATCCTAAGACAGCAGCTGTGCCTACCTAAGTAAAGCTGTGCTGGAGTGATGCTATAAAACGGAGATGACCTGAAGTTACATTCCCTTATTTAGAAACAAGTAAATAATAAAGGGTGACAAAACCAGTACCTAATAAAAATGAATCGTTTTCAGTCTCTTTTTATGAAACCACTAATCTTCTCTTCCTCCAACAGCACACCGAAGTGAAGCAAACAATGAATTCCATCCAACTCCAGTGAGAACTTCCGTACGCACAGGTCCGAAGGTCTCAGAGAGAGTAGGACTCTACGAAAACACAAGGTCTCACGACCGGCAATCTCCCTGTAAAAGAACCAAAACAGAAAAAAAAA